ATTAAGTACTTGCAAGTATATATAAATCCAGCTGGTATTCCCACAGGTGGCTGTTTGCATGGAAGCTGTCTGGCCTTTGAGGCCCAATTTCCCAGTATTAATTTTGCGGCCTAATTCAGATATGAGTTACGATCTGAACAACTTTCTGAGGACAGTGTGGCGGACTGCATGTGTGCTGAGGAGTCACCCTTGGGTCAGTTGGACACTTACATGGCCTGGTTTCTCCCTGGTGCTGCCAGAGCTGCTCCAGGTCTTTGCTCAAACCTGCCAACCCCACCTTTAGCCCGAGTTAATGTCAACCTTTAAGTTAAAGGGTCCAGAGATAAGAAAGGAAGCTACAAACAAACCCTAGATGGAACCAGCTGGGACCACAAGATGGTGATGAATCTGACCTCCAACACACCCTGAGTCTCATTACATGTTGATTTCACTACTTTAGCATATTAAATGATACACCTGGACCAAAAAAGGCTAAAAAGGGGGTGGAGAAAGCACTGCCCCTTCCCCAGTAGACCAATGCATATGGCTTCCCATTATTAGCCTCATCCCTCCTCCCTTTGCTTTATTTTTTTTAATTAAACCCCTTTCACCAGGTGGGCGAGAAGTTGATCTATGAACTTAGCTCCTGCTTCTCCAGTCTTTGGCCACTGAATGCGGCTTGTGCTGTGTCCATCTCAGCTTAGGTTTCCTTATTTGCCTACTTGAACCCTAAGGCAAAAAGAACCCTCCCCTGCAGAGGCAGAGAGCCTCGGCCAGGCTAGGGCCCGAGCAGGGTCCATACGACTTAATTCAGTAACAGTGTGACAGCCTAAAACCGTCAGGGGTGCTCGGAGCGCTAGGTTACCAGCCTCTGTCTCGCTGCCCGGACGAGCAGTATTTACTTAAGGTTTGACTGTGTCTCCCTTATTCTTCAGAGCTGAAGAATTCAGCCTCTCATTTCAGTAGCAAAAGTTTTGTTCAGACCATATATCAACTCATTTTGTTTTTCGATTTAAGCCCATTTTAACAAAAAGCCACCTATGTTTCCCTGGGCCTCTTACCCAAACCCCCTAGGTCCTGCCTAAGAAATGCACGGGTGCCCCTTAAGACTCCAAGTCTTAAGCGAAGCAGCTCAAAATTTTCAGGATCATCACTCAAACAATGAGATCCGGATATCAGGAGAACTCCCCGGAACACCTGAGGAGTACCGAGAAGCCGGTGGGGCTCAATGGGCCATGCTGGTTCTGGTTCCGGGTAAACTCCAGGTGCCCTCTGGCAGGTGTCTCTGATATCCTGCTGGCTACGTCATGCATATCAATGAAAAACTTAGTCGATCTAAGAAAGAAATGAAAATTTTTATTCGAGTCAAATGGAGGATTATAACCTGGGAACAGCATCTCAGAAAGCTCTGAGAACAGTTCCACTCATTAGAAGTCAAGGCATGGTTCTATCAGTTTTTTGAGGCAGAGGGCTGGACATTAAATGATACATTATTGACAGTTTACACAGTGCAGACTTAAGCGTCATCGTGGCCCCTTACAAGATCAAGAAGGAATGTTATCTTTTAAGGAATAGCCTTGTTGGTGCTATGAGAATGTTGCTCAGGCCGGCTGAGGTGCCCTACACTGCCAGCCAGCACAGCTGTTTCAAAGAGATTTTGACCCTGGTGCCGTTGAGAGCTGGCCCTTGACCCTGCAGGCTCAGGGCCTGAGACACCCACACCCCCGCCTCCCTCCTCCCCCACCAGGCTGTCGCCGTGGCGTCCTTCCCTACGACCTTCAGTGCAGCAGCCTTACTGATCAATCCCCTCCCCCTGTGCCACCCGTCTTGGGTGCCCGTCTTATGGGGGGCTCCAGGGGGGAATGCTTGCAAGATGTCCACAGCCAGGCAGGCGAGACAGCACCGGGCGTGCCGGCCCCTGGCCCCCCTTCCTTCAGGGCCCGCTGGAGTCTGCCAAGCACGTTCACCACCACAGCCTGACGTTAGTGGTCGTAGCAGTCGAGAATTTTTCAGTTGAAAGTACCAGTCAACCCAGTTTTAACTGGCTTCGGGGGGAGGGTGAATCCTATTAGTGACTCCTATGACTGAAGAGTCTAGAGATTGGGGAGTGGGGGGTTGCTTGAGGTGCAGTTTGATTTTGAGCTCGAGGGCTGACCCACCCCCCCAGTCTTGTTTTCTTCCTCTTCACCCCTCAATCAGGCCATCTTCTGCACTGGCTGCATTCCCATGCCTCCTCATAGTGGCCAAATGGCAACAACAGCTCCAGGACTCCCCCCTCAGCTTCAGATAGGGAGGGAGCAGCGTCTTTCCCAGCATTCCCAGCACAGGTCTCCCTGGGCCTCATCGGGGCAATCAGGTTGGCTGCCCGCCCCCCCAGCCAGCCACTGTGACTGGGGAGTAGGGGGGTGGGTAATGCACCAGTTGACTTGGGCCTGGTCTTGGAGGTCGGGTGGACCCCAGGACTGCACGGATAGACAGTGGAAGAGGGATCCTCAGGCGCTGCCAGGAGAAGAGGGAGGATGCTGCGGAGGCAGAAGACTGATGTCCAATGAGCTGACCTTCCTCATTGCCCCCATGGTGCCCACATCGGTGGGAGAGGAGCTCCCAAAGGCCTTTTTTTGCCAGGGGAATGGAGGAGGCCATGTCAGGCAGGGGGATGGGCAGACATAGATCCTGCAACCACAGGGGTTCAATAATGTGCAAAGCCAGCCAAGAAAGCTGAACAGAGGGAGCCCTGTGGCCGGGTCGCGGTGTAAGAGCAAAGACAGGTAGGGCTGGGGCAGGAGAGTTAGAGGGAAGGTGGGCTTTCCTGCTAGAGGAACAGATGGAACAAAAAGGCACACCGCAGTTGGCAGGGAGCCCGGTTCTAAGGCTGGCGGCCCTTGGCAGTCGGGGCAGCTGTCAGGGGGCGATCTGTGGGTCGGATGGTTCCCTGGCTGGTGCCACCACCCAAGAAAGGGCCATGATCAGGTGCCTGCTCAGGAGGCCCTGAATCCTTTCCAGGGCCACACCGGGCCTTCCTGCCAGGCCCACTCCCATTACACGGTCCCTCCAGGACCTCGCGGCTCTGGCCAACGGCTAGGTAGTTTCTTCCAGTTGCCCTCATCTTGGCTGGCTCTGGTTCCGGCCCACAGACACTGCTCCCTGTGCAGATTGGGCCCTGACTCTACCCCGCTCTCTTCTTCAGTCTCTGAACCCCACAGAGCTCGCTCTGCAGGCAGCTAAAGTCTGCACATTCTCTGTTCAGGCAAAGTCCACGCGATTATAGCTGATCACGTGAAACCGGAGCTGGCTGGCCTCTGGTGCTCCCCTAACCTGAAGGGCCAGGGCCCCTGTGAATTGGCGAGAGGGCTAGGAGGGGCCCCAGGACCCACTTTGGGTTGGCAACTGTGTCCAGCTCAGTGGACTCTGTGTGTGTGCCTGTGGAATCATTACTTGATATAATTTTCTGAGGGAAAACCAAGTGGAGAATGAGGCTGGAATATGAAAATGTCTTTGAGGTCTTGAAAGAAATGACAAGTAGCTTCCCTTCCAAGTCGGTTTCAGGGGACGGTTTGTGTTGGGGGGCGACCCTAGGGCAAGAAATTGGTTGACAAGGCTGGTGTGTGGTACCGTCGCCCCCTGGTGGTCAATGGGAAGCAAAGCACTTGGACCCAGAGGTTTTGCCTCCAGGGAACCTGAGGCCGTAAAGTTTGTAACAAGGGCCTTCCTCCATAGGTCTTTGTGAGAATGAAGGAGTCAAGCCAGGCCCATGGGATGCTCAGCTCTTACTCCTGGCCCTGGGCAGGTCAATGCGGCCACACAGTGAGGGGTGGTGGGAGGGTGGGGTGTGTGGATAGCCTTAACCAGCTGGCCCCCAAATGGGCCTTGGGGTTACCAGGGCAACTGGAGACCATCACAGATTCATTTGCAGCACCTGGAAACTCCGTCCGAAAGGTCTGTCCTTTCCCTGGTGGCTTATTGATATGAATCACCCTTCTACAGAGAGGCTAGTAAATAATTGTCATCGATCACCAGAGCAATCCTATCAGATTGTTCTGCTCACTTTACAGATAAGGCAACTGAGGCTCAGCCAGGCAAAGACATGCTTAAGGTGAAATAGAAAGCTCCATCGTGAAATGGGCAGTTCAGTGCTGACACCTGGTCTGGAGCCACCCGCCTGGGTCCAAGTCCTGGCTCCACTCTTTAACGGCTGACGGGGCCCCAACATCTTTCAGCCCAGCTTTCCCGGCTGTGCCCAACAGGCTGTGGTCACGGCAAACGTTCTCAGCACAGTGGCCAGCCCGTGCAAACGCAGGACATCCCATCCCAGGCAGCAAGGTCAGGACTCCCTTGCCTGGATTGTGCCAAGGCCCTGGGGCTCCGGTAGACTGGAGCCTTCGGTGTGTTCGGTGGTGGAAGGGGGCTCCCGCCATCTATCCTCCCGGTTACTGATGACACACCCATCAGCCAAACATTGGAGGTGACGTCACACGGCCTGGGCGCTGGCCCTTGAAGCACTAGCAGACCCCTCAGAACCTCCGTCTCCCCATCCCTGAGTTGGGGAACCCCTTCCTCTCCTCCCCTCAGCTTCCCACTTCTTGCCCCTCCTCTAGCATAACCCTCACTGACCCAGGAAAGGAAGATGTCTTCAGGCAAATTCTGCTTCTGCCCTGTGACCTGCACCCTCCAGCCAAGGGGACACGCAGAAACGACTTCCTGGAACTGGCAGAGAGAAATGACTTGGGAACGAAATACAAATGGCACCTCAAGGAGTTACCCTACCTCGTGGCTCTGTGTACAGGCTGCAGGGCTGGAGCTTCTCATAAATGCTTCCCAACCGCGGGCATCTCTTCTTCGCTCCGCCTTCACTGGTGGCACACTGGGAACTTGAAATTGAGTGTGGAAATCGGCAAATGCTACAATTCGGGGAATGTTAAACATTTACCAGTGTGGCACTGGGCAGAGGCCATGCCTCATAGCAGGGATGGGAGGGGCTGGACCAAATTTCAGAGTCGGGATAAAGCCAACAAGAGTCCCTCTCCTTTGTCAAGTTTATTTTATTAAAATATACAGGACTGAATATTGGTGGGCGCTGAGAACAGGCACCACCCTCCTAGGCTGCTTCCAAGGGAGACACTTTCTGCCATGCAGACATGCGGCCAGTTTGCATCCCAGAGTGGGAGCCAGACCCCTCCTGGTTGGACGTACAGCCAGTCTGGCCCAAGGCTGGGGTGGGCAGGGCATGGTGGTGACCCTCTCCTTTGGCCTTGGCCCCTGAGAAGCAAAGCCACACCAGCTGGGAGGGCTGGGCTGAGGGGGTGGGGATGGGGATGGGGGAGAATATCCCTGAGCCGGGGAAAGCTGATGCCCTCCTGGAGGAGGGGAGAGGGAGCCCCCAGTCAGACTGGAGATGGGTGTCAGTGCAACTCCAAGGGGGAGGACCACCTGTGTGTGGGTACCAAGGGGTCCCTGCGGCCGAGCCAGGCCGATCTCCATGGCCTCCGCCACCCTGCCCTTCCTCTGAGGGCCCTGCTCACCCTAGGGCCAGGCCTGGGCAGAGATGGGGTGGCAGCCGATGGAATGTATGCTTTGGGAATGTTCCTGGGACGGTCCGTACTGCCTGGGACTGGGTTTCTTCCTGGGGCGGCCTGGGCAGGCGGGAGCAGCCTCTCTCTCTCTCTCTCTCCCCTGGAAGTTTCTGTTGACCTGCCACCCGGTCTCTGGCCCCTTGGCCCTCATTGTTGGCGCTGGCTTCAGGCTGACGCCGGCCTCCATCCTCAGAGCAGAACCCAGCCAAGCAGAATCCCCGGGGTTTGTGCTTTTGAACGTTGGTGAGCTGGGATGGGCGGGGGGTGGGCTTCAAGCCTGCCACTGCTCTGAGGCACAGAACTGACTCTCCAGAGAACCCTGGGGCCACCTGATGGGGGCTGGTGGCACCCAGCCCTCAGCCCAGCAGGAGGACTTGGGCTCCCCTCGTGGGCTGCGGCCTGAGCTGCTGGGGGCGTTTGTGCTTTTTGTATGGGGTTTGGGGTGAGTCTGTGTGGAAGCATGGCTACAAGGCTCCAGGACCCTAACCAGGAAGAGGGGGCTCATCCAGGCTGCTGGGCTCAGGGAGACGGGGGCCAACAGGAAAGCGGGAGGGAGAAGTCCCTTCCCAGGCCTGCTCTGCCCGCCCGGGCTTCCTGGGGGCTAGGCTCTGAGCCATGTGACCTCTTCTCAGGACCCACGATGACCTGGGTGCCTGAGGGGTGCGGGCAGGCCCCCTGCTGCATCCCCACTGAGCCAGCCTGGGGGAGGGGAGGTGGAGTTGGCAGAAAGTTCCCCTCAGATTCCCCACCAAGAAACCCCATCCCCAGCTAGAAAGCCCCCTTCCTGGGGTGGAGGAGAACAGAGCTCACTGGTCCCTCACCACCGGGGCTCCCACCAGCTCAGTGGACTGGCTGGCGTCCTGGGACCCAGGGAAACGTTTCCAGAAAGAGCTGCCTCTCATTACCACCTCTTTCCTAGTCTGAACTCCCTTGACCCCCAGCTGCCCCTCCGGGGTCCTGGGGTCAGAGCCATCCTGGAAGTGTAGTCAGTGGGCAGGGAGTGGCTTGGGGAACGAGAAGGCCAGAGCAGCCTCCGGAGCCTGGCCCCTGTGTGGTGGGAAAGGAGGGTGGCAGAAAGGAGGGGCGAGTGGGCTCCCACGGGAGCGGCCTTTGCTCTAGAGACTGGACCCTCCTTGGCAGGGGAGGCAACACACAGCGGCCAGTGGCCTGAAGACATGGCTCTTTCAGCTGCCCACCCGGAGGCCTGGGAGGGGGCTGGTGGGAGCTGTGTGGCTCTCGTCACCTGGACCCAGGTCCCAGCCAGACTCAGCCCCTCCCTAACCTTTGTCCCCTCGCACCTGCGAGCCCAGAGGAAGGATGTGCATGTGTGTGTGTGTGTGTGTGTGTGTGTGTGTGTGTGTGTGTGTCTGCAGCAAACTATTCACTTTGTGCAAATATATTTGAAACAAGTTTCTCCTGGAGGCTGCTCCTGGCATCTTTGGGGCAGAGGTGGTAACAGCCACTCAGGGACACCCCTCCCCCACAAGCGTCCTAGATGACGTTCTCGAACAGCTGCATGGAACTCATGATGTTCTCGTCCTGCATGGAGAGAGGACGAGAGGCCCGGTCAGCTCCGGGCTAGCAGGGCCCAAATCCAACATCACTGTGAGCAGATTCTCGTCAGGGACCTGGAACCCTCCAGGGACTCTGCCTGTCTCACTGGACGAAGGGGGAGCTGTCAGGCACAGCCTGTCTCCAGCCCCATGGCCTGATGGTCAGGCCGTCTGGGAGCTGTTAACTCACTGATGGACCAAGCCGTCCCACCCCCGGCTGAGCACCCAGATGGAGGCCGGGGGCACCCGAGGGGCCACCCAGGGGATGGGGCCGACGGCCGAGGCCAGTGGAGGCCCAGCGTCCTGCCCCCTGAAGGCGCTCTGCATAGGAGTGTCAGCAGCAATGCCGGGGGCTCCAGGCTCCTTCCCGCAGTGTGACCCTGTCCTGAGGGCTCCACGTCTCTCCCCTCTGAGGGGAGCCGCTGAGGGACATGTGCCCGGCTGGGCTGTGGGCTGGCAGGGGCGGGACACGGGGGTCCCTAAGCCCTGACGCCGCCTACCTTCTGACAGGTCTCCAGGAACTCATCAATGGTCACCACCCCGTCCTGATTCCGGTCCATTTTCTGCAAGTCAAGCCATGCCCTCAGTGAGTCTGTGTCCCACCGGGCCGGCCCCTGCCCCAGGCCTGAGGACGTGCCGGGGGGCGGGTGGTGGGCTCCTTCCACCCCAACCCGTCCCCTGTGTCCTCTCCCCGGGATCCAGGCCACGTAAAGTGCCCTCTCCAGCCACGTCCACCACGCAGCCGACCTCTCTGGGGTCTCCCCAGTCTGTCCCCTACCCCAGACACTTTCCAGCAGCTCTCCTGGGCTCCTGCTCCCCAGAAAGCAGCCCCGTGCTCGTCGGACCCCCTCACCTTGCTGACAGGCAGCCAGGGCAGGTGGAGCAGCTGAAGTCAGGATGGAGGCATGTCTAAAGGACCCCCAGCAAGTGGGAGGCGGAGCCCTAGTTCCGTCAGTCCCCATGGATACAAAGCAGTCACCCCAACCCTCTCCTGCAGAGAGGTCCCTGGCGGAGCGGGGGGCAGCTCTTGGAAGGCACAAGAACACTGCTGGGGGGGTGTCGGTGACCTTGCAATCTGTGAGCTCCTGCCTGCTCTGAGATGCAGTTTGGCAGATCAGTGAGCGGGGATGGCTTTAATTCGCTCCTTGGGATCCGGACAACCAGCCCGATGGGGGATGCAAGTTGAACCTCCTCGTGGGAGCGGGGAGGCCCACAGAGGGGAGTGGCAGGCCCAGCACTGCCCTAAGAGCCGAAGCCCCTTCCTCTTCCAGCCACCCTTCCCCGCGCAGCCCGGGGCTGGAGCGCTCACCTGGAAGAACCTCTCCACATGCTCCAGGGGCGCGTCCTCCCGCAGGATGGGGTAGGTGTGGCGGCCCATCATGTCATAGATGGACTTCATGATGGCCAGCATCTCCTGCAGGGGGGCCGGAGGGGCTGGCCTGAGCCTGGCTGTAAGGAGGTGGGGTGAGGGTTCGAGGGTCTGAGGGGAGGGGCTGCATCCAAGTGTGGGAGGCACCTCAGGGGCGGTGGTGAGTGAGTGGCCAGGGCTGTGGGAGCTGGAGAGAGGCGAGCTCACCCTCACCCAGTCCACTCAGCGCAAGCTTCTAACTCTCCAAGAGCAGTTGGAGCTAGATTTTTAATGCAATCTCCAGAATTTGAAACTGTAGCAACTATTTCAGAGACAGAAAAATGTTTGGGCCAGACGAAGCCAGACTGTAGGCCTGTGTGGTGAGGGACCCCCCTGCCCCCGTCTGCACCCTGCCTTAAGGGACCACACTGCTCTCCCTCAACTGGTGGGAGCCAAGGCCAGCTCCCACCCCTGCTCCCAGCTTCTCCACTTGTGTCTCCCTCGGGACCTCTCCGTAAGAAAGGATGATCCAGGACACCTGTTGAACGGGATCGAGACACGTGGTGAGGGGCACCAAAGCTCCACGTCCCCTGCACCCAGGTATCCAGGCCTGAGAGCCTGGGAGAGGAGGAGAGGTCCTGGCTGCTGTCCCCTCCAAGGCCAGGCTGTGAGCTGTGTCTCTGGCCAGGGAGTGGGGACAGGAAGCCAGGGCAGCAGGAGAGAGGCTGGGGATATAGAGCAGTGGGGTGGGGGGCAGACAGGTCACTCCCAGCCTCCCCAGCCACCCCCGTACCTCTTTGGTGATGTAGCCATCCTTGTTAATGTCGTAAAGGTTAAAGGCCCACTTGAGTTTCTCATGGACTGTTCCTCGCAGGAGGATGGAGAGACCAACCACAAAGTCCTGTGGAGGAAGGGGAGGGGGAGGAGTGACGATCCAGCGCTCAGATTCTATTTCCAGTTCGCGGTGTGGCTTCCACTGGAATTCACACCTGTATAGGTGAGGCACCTCCAACACAGAGCGGGCAGACGGTGTCCATCAGGTCAATACAGTGTGAGAGTGTGTGTGTGTGTGTGTGGCGGGGATGGCACAGTGGCTGGAACTGATCATCTCAAATAAAGACACTCAAACGTATGGTGTCTTAGACCCATTTAATGCATTGCCGCTGACAGAGAAGGCCTCGGGGTGCTCCTTTAATGAAGGGGGTGCTCTATTTTCACCTTACCAAGTGTCTGCGTGTCAAGGTGCTTAAAAACTTACAGCTTAAAAACTAAACTAACAGTGCTCAGCTCTGGGGTCATGCCATACCTGTGTGCTGTCACAGGTGTGACAGACAGTTTATTACTAATGTGAATGAACGTTCGAATGGCTTCCGTGTGAAAACTTCAACTGTTTTGTTTTAACAGTTGGTAGAAAGCAAGTCTTTCCTGCCCCTTCCGGAAGGTTTGCAGGTTAAGCCGTCCCTGCCCCATGGAGTCCTTTCAGGCTGCTCTGAAAGAAGGGGAGCAGAGAAGGGTTGTCTATGGGGGGGAATGGAGAACAAGCAGGGAGGGACAGGGCTTTGCACCAAGGGGCTTGGTCCCGCTCAAATTTTATTTTATTTATTTATTTTTAATTTATTTATTTTTAATTTTTTATTTTTGATTTTTTTGCGGTACGCGGGCCTCTCACTGTCGTGGCTTCTCCCATTGCGGAGCACAGGCTCCGGACGTGCAGGCTCAGTGGCCATGGCTCACGGGCCCAGCCGCTCCGTGGCATGTGGGATCCTCCCGGACCGGGGCACGAACCCGTGTCCCCTGCATCGGCAGGCGGACTCTCAACCACTGCGCCACCAGGGAAGCCCTCAAATTTTATTTTTTATCTTTTTGGCCACGCCATGTGGCTTGCAGGATCTTAGTTCCCCGACCAGGGATCGAACCCAGGCCCCAGCAGTGAAAGCGCTGAGCCTTAACTCCTGGACTGCCAGGGAATTTCCCCCACTCAAATTTTAGATTTTCTGGATTAGAGGAAGCCTGTATCATGAGAAAGGAAGACTAAGGGAAACAGAGAAAACCAGTTTGGATGAAACAAAAAATTATTCCAGGAGAAAAAAATACTTAACATAAACTATTAGATTCAGAGATTAGATATCTGGCATCCCTACAATAAGAATAGGATGCTATAAAAAAGGAATACTTGGGAACAAGAAAGAGCTCTTGGGAATTAAAAATGAGAAAGCAAAATGAGAGACTCAGAAGAAGGGCTGGAAAAGCACGTGGAATCTTCCATAAAGCAGCGTGAAAAGGCAGAGCTGGAAAATAGGATAGAAAAGCGGATAATGAGAGGTCCACTCCAGAGGGACCGAAACTTGACCAGCTGGAGTTCCAGGAAGAGCCGGAGGAAACGGAGGGAAGCGTGTCCAAGAGGCAATGAAGGGAAGACTGAGTGTTCAGGTCCTGCCGAGGACCTAACGATGCGGGGAAACAGCCCACGGTGTGACCTGCAGGCACGTATCACGAGACACTTCGGAAAACAGGTGCAAGGACAGGATCCTACAAGCTTCCAGAGAGGAAAACAAAACCAAACAGAAACAACAACAACAATAACAAGATCAGGTCCTGTACACAGGGTCGGGAATCAGCAGGACGGCTTCCGCCGTAGCTCTGGTCCCACACAACGGATCAAGCAAGGGTGAGAACGGAGCGAAGTCCCTTCCGGGCGTTCAAAGGCTCAGAAGTTACCTCCCACGTACTCTTCTGTAGGAAACTCCTGGAAGACATGCTTTTGAAAAGAGAGAGTAAAGCAAGGGAGAAGAAGATGAAGGATTCCAGAACCAGGAGACCCAACCCAGGAGAGAGGGGAAGAGGTCCCCAGAGGGCACCCAGCACCAGGATGATGGAGCTGGTCAAAGGCTAGGGAGATGCCCGTTCAGATGACTGGAGAAGGACGGCGTTGAATCACTGATGAGGTCACGGACACCAGGCAAATGACAAATCGGGACCACAGTTAACTGAAGGCAAAATAAAAATGTGTGCAGGGAAGGGGAACGTAATCACAGTTCACTGCAAGGCTCATCTGGGGAACAAATTCACATCGTGAGTAAACCGAGAGCGCTTATCCAATCTGAACTCCATCGTCCTGGAAAGCCAGGGGATGGGAAAGGCATGTGTGCAGAAGACCCAACTCCTCACCCGTGCAGGGAGTCAACGGGCAGCATCTAAAGCTGGGCAGTCGGGAAGGAGCAATAACACGATGCTATTAGGCGACAAGAAGACAGAGTGACAATCGGCTAAAACAAGGGAGGTGGTTGCTTCTTCAGGTATATCTGGGGGGTGGTAACTGCTGTTGTTCCAAAGCACATCCTGTAAGTCTACTGGAGCCTGAAAGTCCTGTGTGTGTATAAGTGACCAAAATAAAGATATACGAAGGGAGAAACAGTGTGATATTTCTTATGTGCCTGAGTTTGAGGAATGCCAACCACTGAAGCTGAGCTCGTGTATGATTTACAGAAGTAGTGAAGATTCAGAGCATCCCTGAAGCCACATCACGCCTCTTCCCTGGGGTCTGACGGGCTTTCCCAGTGGGAAGCAAAGGCTCGGACTCCTAAGCTGTGTACCAGGGAACGAGTGGCTCCCGCACAGGACCCACTCTTCCCATGTGGGCATGGGGGAACCCCGGCACCACTGTCCTCCCATCCAGTCTCCTCAGATGCTGTGTAGCCACACTCAGGACTGTCCTTACTCGGGGTCCCTTAGTGGGTGTGTAGTATAATAGTGACGGTGCTAGGAGAGAGGTGGGTCGGAATGTCCCCTGCGAGACCACTGGCCCATCCCCAGTCACACACAGATGACCCCCAGTCTAGCCAGCCCACGTCCAGGTGCTTGCTGGTTCTAAATTTCCAGCCGCACACAGCACAGCTTCATGTGGGACTGTCGCTCGTCGGAGCTCCTTGGTCTCAATGCCGAGGTGTATGAAGCCCGTCATATCCACAGCCCCTGCTCTGTGCTGTCCCTGAGGGGCTCCTCAGTGACACCGGCTGGGACAGCCCAGAGTGCAGAGCAGGAGCTCAGTGTGGGGCGGGGGTGATTAGATCACGGGGCTGCAGGCCTTCCCGAGGGCGCTGACCACAGCCATCATTTGGCCAGTGGCACGGGGAGCGAGTTACTGCAGGGGCAGGTAATGGACAGGGCAGCCGCCAGGGCTGAGGTTTGCTTGTTCTGCCGTTTACTTACTCTTTCAGGTGAGGGCAGGGAAGTTACAATATTTCACCATATCAATAAACTCGAATTAATATGTATGTGTATTATCCCAAGAATATACACAAAGGATTGGGATCATTGTAAATATTGATAAGCTGACCTGACTTTCTGTTTTAAGAGCACGTTGAGAGGTTTGGTCTGAGGTAGCGAGGAGGGCTGAGTGTCTCCCCCCAACCCCTCTGGATCCTTCCTGACCACAGGGATCCCCACCCATGGTGCACCCAGGATTAGGCCCTGCCCGTTGGAAGGCCCCTGGGAGATACACGCCCCCCTCCCTTCCTGAAAAAGGCCTCCTAGAGCAGAGCATTGATATCAAGATGCCGAAGGTAAACAAACAAGAAGGTCCCCAAGGTAAACAAACCTCCCCATAAGAAATCGGAGGAATTAATTTCAAAAGGGAGAAGCATGACCTTCTGAGAAGGTGCCTAGCAGGAGGGGGTCAGCGCCAGCGCCCCCCGCTCAGCCACTGACAGCACCTCCCCAACAAAGACCCACCATCGACTACCTTAAAGGGACCATGGTGAGAGAGGCGACCACAGGAGGGTGATGGAGACCTTTCTGACACCCGCCACTATGCGGGGGCCCTGCTAAGCTGTCTGGTCATCTGATTCCTGAACAAGAGAAACCATCATCAAAGTCCTGGTTGGGTCTGTCACACAACTGCTTCTCACACTTCATTCCCAGGAGCCTCAGGTACCTCTTAAAGGACACACAAGAAACTGGCCACAGGGGTGGGACCAGGGAAGGAAAATGAATTTTCCCTGTTTACTCCTTTGTACTGATCGGATTTTTACCATGTGCAGGCAGAACTGAAAACAAAAAGGCTGAAAACACTATAAGTTCACAAATCCACTAAGAGTGTGGCGCGGGGAAGGTGAGACCCCTGTGGTCACAGAGCTGGCGGTGGCCTTGGGCTGCCCCACCCCGGCCAAGGGTCAGTGAGTGGGCCTGCTGGAGCGATAAGGGAAGCTGAGAAGCATCTCGAGTTATTATTACCCCAGCTGGCACAGGGGCTTTCTCTCTCACTTTCCCGTCAGCCGCCCTTGGCCTTGGAAGCCGAGCTGGGGGGTTATCGATCAAGCCCGGCTCTCAGCAAGGTTTTCCTCTCCGAAGAGGTTTCAGCTTTTCTCCTGCAGCTATTTTTAGGGGCCTGGGCTCCACAGCTGGGGCCTCAGTGGAGCCCACGTGCTGCCCGCACAGAACCCAGGCAGGGCCCTCCTGGGGGCAGGCGGCTGGCGCGGGGGGAGGACAGGCAGGCTCGCTCACAGTGCTGCTGGGATGACCCCTGAGCCTGCTCGGGCAGGGATACTCTGCCTGTTTTCGGGCAAGGGGGTAAGTTCCAGGGCGGGGTGCCCAGATCCCCTTAGCACAGACCTCTAGTTAAACCCTGCCCCCTTTTCAAATGCAAATTCACGTTGGGTCACTACCGCCTCAGTGTGCCTTAACAGCTCCCTTGGCTTGGCGGGGCTGGAATGGAAGGAAAGGCTGAGAATAGGGTAGCCAGACAGCAAAATCAAATTTCACTGACTTCACAGTCAGGCCCAGGGCCAGCCAAGCAGAGTCCACGCGTTCCCTGGGTGACACACTGGACCGTTTACACCAGGGTCATGTCTGAGCCTCTGGCGGCCCTGAGGGGGTGACACCGTGGCCGGGAGATGCAGGACCAGGGGACGTGGGAGGGGTCGACAGGGACCTACCTCAAAGCGGATGGCCCCGTTCCCGTCTGCATCGAAGGCGTTGAAGAGGAAGTGCGCATAGGTGGTGGAATCTGGGGAGACCAAGGGCAAGGCTGGGAGTGTCGGGGCCGCCTGAGCCCCTACCCCAAGCACTCTTGGTATATTGCTCCTGAGTCCTGGGCTGGAGCCCCCCCCCCCCCGCCTGCCGGATAGAGGCAGCACCGGGCAAGGGATGCTGGGGAGGTGTGTGTGGGTGAGGGTCCCCTCCCCATCAAAGGGATGCCCACCCTCTGCAGGGCTGCCACAGGGAAGCAGGAACTTTGGAGGAACTGGGGGCCTGGCCTCAGACTCACCTCCTTGAGGGAAGAACTGGGAGTAAATGAGTTTGAACGTGTCTTCATCCACCAGGCCCGTGGGGCACTCCTGCAGCAGGAAGGCACCCCTCTCAGTAATCCCAGCCACCCCCGTCCCACACCCTGACTCCACGGGGCCTGGGCTCTCTCCTCCCTCTGGGGGACACCTGCTGCCTGAGGCACCGCTGGGCTCCACCAGCCCCGTGCTGGGGAAAGCCTGGGGGGGCTGGGCACGGCGGGAGGGGGTGGTGAGTCCTCTCATGCCAGGTTGGTCCCTCTGCAGGTTCCTCCCCTGCACCAGCATCGAGACACACAGAAGGGGGTGTGATGCCTTCAGAACACTGACTCTAGGACCTGGCCCACCCCCCAGACAGCTCTCCCACAAAACACGAGCCCTATAAAGGCCCTGGGATATTCACTGTGCCATGGGAAGCGTCCAGGTGTGCCTGCACCCTGCAGCCAGGGACAGGAAAGCCGGGGGGATCAGGGCTTCTCCTGGGGGGATGGGGGGCACTCACATTCTTGAAGCCCCTGTAGAGGGACTGCAGCTCCTTCTTGGTGAACTTGGTCTGTGCCTGCAGCTGGTCCAGCCCCTCCGGCTGGTGGCGCACCGTGGACAGCTCCAGCTCACTGTCGCTGCTGTCTGGAGGGGGATACAGACCAGGAGGGTGGAACATGCGGCCCCGCCCCATCTTGCTCCAGTGTGAGGGGCGGAAGTAAGGGGTGGAGGGACTCTCTTCGAGCGACTACCATGTACAGTCACCCAGGCTGTGCACTGCACAAATGTACAGGCTACAGAGGAACAGCACACTCAGGAGTTGTGCCTCCTGGTCTCTCTGCTGCCCTGCTCCTCACAGGGAGTGGGCCCTGCCCGCTGGCCTCACCTTGAACATGGGATGGGGATGAGAGTTGGGAGCAGGTCTTGTCCTGGAGAGACACTGAACAAGGGGAGGTGGGAGGGAAAAAAACAGAACACAAGCACAGGGGACCTCGACCTTCAAGATCCAATTCCTGGACCACCTCCTCCATGCGCCTCTCCCCGCCCCAATTTCCCCCAGGAACTGGGAGGGCACTCCTCTTGGCTCATCCAGCCTAACGTGCTGCTGCCCAGCCGCACTGGGTCTGGGGCTTTTATTCACATTTGAGTAGGAGGTCAGACTTCAAGGGTCTGTAGGGCAGGGACCAGATCATTTTTTAATAACAACGCATCAAAATATTAACTAACCATGGCTACCTTTTGCAGGGGAGGTAGATTTCAGGTGATCTTTAATTTTTTACTTATGGGTTTTTGGTTGTTTTTTTTTTACATTTTCCTAATTTATTTTAGTACGGCACATATCAAGTTTATAATATAAAACAAAGCTATAAACAAAACGGCATTGAATACCTACCCCTTGCTGAGTAGCAGGCTCACATATTATAGAACTTCCCACTGAAATGGGCAGCGCCATCCCCACTGCTCTGTCACCATCCAGTCTCCCCTCTTCCCCAAGGAACTGTGAGGCCATGGTTACCTGCACAGCTGTTTGCTTGCTCCCACTGCAGGGTGAGCCCTGCAACGCAGCCTTAGCAATCAAGGCTCTGTGATGGTAGGAGCTTGGGGAAATTTTCTTCTGTGAAGTAGGAAGCAACTTGAGGGTAAGGATGGAGGGGGCGGGGAGGAGGTACTGGAAATTTAGAGAGAAGGAAGGAAGGAAACAGCTCTCTTGCAGAATGGGTGCATGGATGGACCAAGGCAACAGAGCCTGATTGCCAGGTAATTTGCAGAGAGCTCTTGAGAGGCAGTGCTCCTGGTAGAGGCTCAGGCACGGAGCTGGCCCAGCACAGGGCTCAGCCGGATCAGGCTAGGTGTGTGAGGCTCTGCAGGCCCGGGGTGGGTCATCAGGGAGGCTGCCTCACAGGGCTCACCCTGCAGCGTGCTAGACTTTGACTACAGTGATATTAAATTAGAATCTAAAACAATAAGATATATTTTAAATCCCAAATATTTGGAAATTAAAAAACACACTTTTTTTTTGGCTGCACTGCGTAGCTTGAGGGATCTTTTTTTTTTTTTTTTTGGGTATGGGGGCCTCTCCCTTTTTTGGCCTCTCCCGTTGCGGGGCACAGGCTCCGGACGCGCAGGCTCAGCGGCCCTGGCTCACGGGCCCAGTCGCTCCGTGGCATGTGGGATCTTCCCGGACCGGGGCACGAACCCGTGTCCCCTGCATTGGCAGGCGGACTCTCAACCACTGCGCCACCAGGGAAGCCCATGGCTTGCGGGATCTTAATTCCACGACTGGGGATTGAACCCAGGCCCCAGGCAGTGAGAGCGAGAGGGCAGAGTCCTAACCACTGGACTGCCAGGGAATTCCCTAAACAACACACTTCTAATTAACCCATAGGTTAGAGAAGAAAAATCGCAAAGAGAATTTTGAATTAAATGATAATGAAAACAACATACCATAATTTTCTGGATGCAAGTAAATCTGTGTTTAGAAGGAAATTTTTAGCTTTACATTCCTTTATTAGAAAAGAAGATAGGTGTAAAGCCAGCGATATAAGCTTCTAGAATCTAAAAATAAGAGCAAATTAAACTCAAAGTTATAAGAAAGGACATGATAAAAATAAGAGTAGAAATTAATGAAAAAGAAAACAGGCAAACATAGAGAAAAAGCAATAAAGTCATTTAGAAACTCAATAGGCAAGTCATAGACTGGAAAATATATCTGCAGTACGCATATCTGGCAAAGACTCATTTCCAGAATATAGAAAGCACTCCTGCCAATCAACAGAAATAAGACTTAATAACTCAATTTTTAAAATAGGCAAAAGACTAGACCACTTCACAAAAGAAGAGATACAACTGGTCAATAAGCACAGGAAAAGATGCTTGACAGCATTCATTGTCAAAGAAATGCAGATATTCCAATGCACAATACCCAAGGATCTATCATTTCAAAAACACTGACAACACCAAATGTTGGTGAAGATGTGGAGCAACTGGAACTCTCATATAATATATTGTCGGGGAAAGTGTAAAATGGTATAACCATCTTGGAGAACTGCTTGGCAGATTCTTATAAAGTCAAACATACATCAACCTTATAACCTATTTACCTAGGACAGATGAAGACATACGTCCACAAACAGACCTGTACAAGAATATTTATAGTAGCTTTATTAATAACAGTCCCAAACTGGAAACTACTCAATCAACAGAAGAATGGAACTGTGGCACATTCACATAACAGAAGAGTATTATATTCCATTTAAAAAAGGGTGAACTACTGATATATACAACAACGTGGATGCATCTCAAAAATTATGCTCAGAAAAAAGCAGAGATAAAAGAGTTCATACTTTATGATTCCACTTATATGAAATTACAGGACAAGTAACAGTAATGCATGGCATTAGAAAGCAGTACAGCAGGTGGTGGTTAAAAGGGTGTATACAGTTGTCAAAATTTACTGAACTGAACATTTAATATCTGTGCATTGTATTGTATGTAAGTTATACCTCAATTAAAAAAACATACTGCTTAGACTTTTGCCTTTGGTCATGATGGGGTAGTGAGTGTTAGACTTGCCTTCCCACCACAATCAACTTGAAAACTGGAAGAAATATGTGAGGCAAGTATTAGCAGGCTTTGGACTACAGCACAGGACTACAATCTTTGGGAGGAGGGAAACATATGAAGTGAGCTCCACGTTCACCCTGGATATGGGAGGGGATGCTTTCTGTGACGTGGGGAAATGCTGATGAGGTAGAGATCAGAGTTTGGGGCTGCTGAGACAGATGGACTTGCAGAGCAGCATCCTGGAGAGGAGGGAACTGCACAGAGATGGGGTCCCAGAAGTCTGTGTGGCATTTCCCTTGGGGCTTTGGCCAAGAGCTGGGCTACATGTGTTCTGAATGAGGCTCCATAAGGCCCAGCTGTGAGCAGCTGTTGGGGGGTAGTAGGACAGAGACCTGAAAAGACATATCAGAGTTCATGCAATGATGAATCAAGTTGGGAGTTCTGGTTCATCTAGAATGGAGATACTTCCCTATGAACTTCAGGCATTCAGCTGAAACCCCAGAAAGGCCATGCCTTGGGAGAAAGCACCATGCTCTAGAACTAAGAACAAAGTTAAAACAAACCTATTATAACAAAGTCTAAAATAAAGTCTGTGCTGATGAAGGGATCTGCCAGGAATTTAAGTGCCTGTCAAACTAAAATTCAATGACTTTATGTGAAGATAATATAGTCCAGATTCCCTACAATATATCACCCATAGTAGCCATCATATAATAAAAAATGAAAAGACACGAGAAGCAGGAAAATGTAACCCAATGATCAAGAGATAAAGCAGCCATCAGAATTAACAGGTTTTAAAATTATTATTTAAGTTTAAAACAATTACTACCAATACATTGAAAGTATTAAGGGAAAGAAAAGTGAACAGATGGGAATCTTAGCAGAGAAGTAAAAACTATTTAAAAAAACCAAAAAAAAGAACCAAATGGAACTTCTAAACCTGAAAAAAACCTCAACATCTAAAAAAAAATTCACTTGGGGCTTCCCTGGTGGCGCAGTGGTTGAGAGTCCGCCTGCCAATGCAGGGGACGCGGGTTTGTGCCCTGGTCCGGGAGGATCCCGCATGCCGCGGAGCGGCTGGGCCCGTGGGCCGTGGCCGCTGGGCCTGCGCGTCCGGGGCCTGTGCTACGCAGCGGGAGAGGCGAAGAAAAGGAGGGGCCCCAAAAAAAAAAAAAAAAAAAAAAAAAAAAAAAGAGGCCACGTAACGTATGACTCCAATTATATGACATTCTGGAGAAGATAAAATTATAGAATATCACAGGGAAGGAGGATATATCAGAGGCTGCCAGAGGCTGGGGGGCAAGGGAGGGGGTTGACTACACATGCGGCAGCATGAGGAGATTTTTTGTGGTGACAGAACTGTTCTATATCTTGACTGTGGTAGTGGTGACATGACTATCTTTTTGCCAAAATTCATGGACTGGACATCAAAAAAAAAAAAAAGGCAAAGTGTACTGTATATAAATTAGAAAAAGTAAAAATAAAATAAAACTTAGAATAATTGCCTCTAGGAAAAGAGGGAAAGGAGGGGATAAAAGGAAAAAAATAAATAAACAAGAGATGGGTTTTAAGTGGGTCAAGACTGATATTGTCCCGTGAAGTTAATAGTCAATTAACTTAATCCTCTGCCCCTGGGGGCCAAAAAATAAGACAAAAATCCCAAACCAGCTGCTATTTCTTTCATCGAAAATCCAGAAAACAAAACTCCATTGACCCTACTTTCCCCTCAAGCTAGTGTCTTTTTCTGTCCTTTAACACTTCCTCTCCTCCTAGTCTCCCTTGATCTTACTTCTATGGGGCATCTGCCCCACCGCGCCACGCAAACTGCTTTTCTAAGATCACCGGTGATCTCCATATTGCTAATCCAGTGATCAGTACAGTCTTCTTGATTCCTAAATCATACAAGGACAACACAAGAATGAAAAGTAGTGACAACATGGATGAACTTTGAGGATATTATGCTAAGCGAAGTAAGTCAGACATAGAAAGACAAATACTGTATGATCTCACTTATATGTGGAATCTAAAAAAAGGCCAAACTCAAAGAAACAGAGAGTAGATTGGTGGTTGCCAGGAGACGG